AGCAAAAATAAACTATTGGAACTACATCAAAATAAAAAGTGCTTGCACAGCAAAGGAAACAATCAATAAAACTAAAAGGCAACCTACTGAATGGGAGAAGATACTTGCAAATGACATATCTGATAAAGGGTTAGTATCCAAAATATATAAAGAACTTATACAACACACATACACACAAAAAATAATACAACTAAAAATAAGAAGGTATGAACAGACGTTTCTCCAAAGAAGACATACAGATGGCGAAGAGACACATGAAAAGATGCTCAACATCACTCATCATCAGGAAAACAAATCAAAACTATAATGAGGTATCACCTCACACCTATCAAAATGGCTAAAATAAAAAACACAAGAAACAACAATTGGTGGTAAGGACGCAACTGCTGGTAGGAATGAAAACTGGTGCAGCTACTACGGAAGACAGTATGGAAGTTCCTCAACAAATTAAAAATAGAACCACCCTAGGATCCAGTAATCACACTACTGGCTATTTACCCAAAAAATGAAAACACTAATTCAGAAGGATATATGCACCCCTATGTTTATTGCAGCATTATTTACAATAGTCAAACTATGGAAGCATCCCAAGTGCCCACTGACAAATGAATGGATAAAGAAGATGTAGAATGGAATATTATTCAGCCATAAAAAAGAATGAAAGTTTGCCATTTTCAATGACATGGATAGAGCTAGAGAGTATAATGCTAAGCTAAATAAATCAGAGAAGACAAATACCACACAATCTCACTCATATGTGGAATTTAAGAAACAGATGAGCAAAGGGGGGAAAAAAGAGACAAAACCAAAGACTCTTAATTATAGAGAACTGATGTTTATCAGAAGGAAGGGGCATGGGAGGGATGAGGGTTATAGAGGATGGGGACTGAAAAGTACATTTATCATGATGAAATAAAATAAAATGATAAAAAAATTATTATTGGGGGTGCCTGGCTGGCTCAGTCTGTACAGCATGAGACTCATGATCTCAGGGTCATCAGTCTGAGCCCCACACTGGGCATGGAGCCTGCTTCAGAAAAAAATAAATAAAAATAAAAATTGTTAAGAAAAAAAGACATATAATACATCTATACAGAAACACAGAAAATTATGAGAGAAATTTAAGAACATGTAAATAAAAACACATTTACCATATATACATATGGAGACTCAATACTGCAGAGACGACCATTCTCCCCAAATTGATCTATAGATTCATGGCAACCCAAAATGTTTATATGTACAAATTAGGCATTGATTCCAAATAGAAAGATCCACGAGGACACAAAACACTCTTTAAAAATGACAGGGTATGGTGATGTAATGTACAGCATCGTGACTATAATTAACAATACTGTATTGCATATTTGAAAATTGCTAAGAATACTCCTTAGAAGTTCTCATGACAAGAAAAAGAATTTTGTTAACTATCAATGGTGATGGATGTTAATCAGACTCACTGTGACAAACATTTTGCAATATATACTAATACTGATGTTACATTCTACACCTCGAACTAATATAACACTATATGTCAATTATACCTTAAAAAAAAAAAAAGAATGACAGGAAGGTAGAACTTGCTTTACCAGACAGCAAGTCTTGCTATAAAGCTCCAGAGATTAAGATGGTGTGCAAATAGCTAATCATTAAGTGAAGAGACAACGTTATATGCTAGAGATCCCAGACCCATGCATATAAGAAGACACCTAATTTATAACAAAAATGGTACTGGGAAATGAGGAAAGGACTGTCTTTGCTCAAGTGTTAGGACCAATGCTTGTCTTTAAGAAAAAGAAAATTAGGGGCTCCTAGGTGGCACAGTTGGTTAAGGGTCCAACTCTTGGTTTTGACTCAGGTCGTGATCTCAGGGTCATGAGATCGAGCCCCACGTCAGGCTCCGTGTTCAGCACAGAATATGCTTGAGATGCTCTGCCCCTCTCCCTCTGCCCCCGTGCTCATGCTCTCTCTAAAAGAAATAAATAAATCTTAAAAAAGGGGGGTGGTTAATCTTGATTCATCACTTACACCATACACAAAAATCAGTTCCGACTGAGCTGTAATCAAAATGTGAAACAATAAAACTTTCAGAATATAGGTAAATAACTTCATGACCTTAGGATAAGAAAGACTTCTTCATCCACAAATGAAAACATAACCCTAACAAAAAACTTCTTTGATAAATTAAACCATTAAGATTAAGGAATAATAATATCTCTTAACAGATACACGAGAAGGAAAAGCAAATCATAGTGTGGAAGAAGATCCTAGCAATATGTGTATGCCAGACAAAAGATTTGCATATAAAACATGTAAGGAATCTGTACACATCTGAAAGGAAAAAGCAGACCATGCAATTTTTTGTAACAGGTAAAACACTTGAACAGGTACTTCTCATAAAAATAACCAAATGGTGAATATGCCTATGAAACAGTGCTCAACTTCATTACAGTCAAATTAATTTTTTGGTTTCCCAATGCACATAAAAGTTGTGTTTATATTATACTATAATCTATTAAGTGTGAAGTAGCATGTCTAAAAATAATGTACAAACCTGAATTAAAATTCTTTATTAATGCTAACCATCACATGAGTTTTCAATGAGTTGTAATCACTGATCACCATAATAGATATAAGAATAATGAAAAAGTTTGAAATGTTCCAAGAGTTACCAAAATGACACAGATCAAAGTGAGCAAATGCTATTGGAAAAATGGCATCAATTGATGCTCGACACAGGTTGCCACAAACCATCATTTTGTAAAAATCTCAGTATCTGGGAAGCACAAAAAACCAAAGTATCTCTCTGCTTCCACATCTACTGTGCTTCACAGTAACTGACTTTCACAACATATAAAATCATTATCTTCTTTACAAATGGAGAAATATGTTATGAGGTCTTGTAATATAGAGAAAAGTCAGGCACACTGTAGTAGTACCCTAAGCTAAACATCTTTTTAAGTAACTAAAAATCTAAAAAGCCAAAATTTCCCAGTACAAACTCTCAGGCAAGGAAAATTAAAATCAAGGTAAGACTTTGGTAAACAGCTACCTATCTTATATTTTAAAGACAAGTAGTAAATGGCTAAATTTACTTATTTAACTTAAATTCATTAACTTAGACAAATTAAAAAAAAAATTATAAAATTCCATTTTTATTATAAGACCTTTTTAAAAAGGCTTCTGTACTCAATTTTTTCAAAATATAACCCAGGAAAAAAATTATTGTACATGCACCAAATTACTCAAAACCTGTCTTTTCTGGACATAAAATTCATGTTATTAAAATCCTAAACGTTATTCCCAAGATTAAAACCAATTCCAAACAATACTTACATTAGATACAACTGTAATAAATGCATGTGCTATAAGAAATGGCAATGTTTCAGGAGTTCCATATTCAAAGCAATCCTTCATGAGAGAAAGGCCATTTTTCCCACAAAACAAACATACATAACGAAGCAAATGCAATGGTACTTCTACATCCTGAGGGAAAAAAAAATATTTTAAAACTCATCAGGAATAATTTTCATTTTATTACCAATATGGAAAAGATACTGATGAAACATAAAAATAAACTCAAAGACCTATATGAACAAAAGACCAAATTTTCCATAAACCTGAGAATAACTAAAACATAAATACTTACATTCATATCACAGAATGCCCCTAATATGTTGCTTTCTTGGGTTGAGATATCCTGATTTAAAAAAAAAAAAAGGAAACAATTAGGCTACCCTAAGAAATAATAATCTCTAAAAAAATACAATTTTCTGTGTCAACTATACTCAAGAAAATACAATACCTCTAAAGACTGAGTTTATAAAACCTGAAATAAGTTTTGTAACTGCTTCTCATCATGAATAACAGTACTCCTAACTGAAGCTAGTAATGGTTCAGTTCTAAAATGTATTTTAAGCCCTCTCTAAAGAAATCTTTCTATGTATTATACATTATTTTGCCTTTTTAAACAATAGTGTTTCCATAAAGAACTGGGATAATTGTTACAAAAATAGATTATAACTTAGTTAAGTGGTTTTAAAACTGTGCTCTGGAATTCCCCAGATGTATACTCACAAGTTCCACAATGTGCTTTGTATACATATGATTTAAACTACTTGAAAGCATACTCATCCATTGCCGGTGAGAAAAGAAACTGGTATGACCTTGTTGGAGGACAATTTGGCAGTATCTATCAACATTTAAAATGCACATTCCCTTTGACCCAGCAATTCATCTTTTGGTTATTTATCCCAACAACTAATAAAGGTAATGCTGGAAAATGTTTAATGATGCTCACTGAAATTATTTATAATATCTCAAAGTTAGAAACAAATACCCATCCATTGAATGGCTAATGAAACTGTAGCATAACCATCCAGTGTCTTATGGAGCTTTCAAAAATAAGGTGAAATGCCATGAGGGATCTTTTTGGGATGACTGAACAGTTCTAAAAATGGAATGTGGTAATGGTTATATAACTCTGTACATTCACTAAAAATAATTAAATTTATCTTATTTATTTATTTATACTTTAAGCAATTGATTTTTATGGTTATCCCATATGTACAGGCATAGAAAGAGAGTATCTTATATTACATTTTAAAAATCAGGATTTATGAACACGATCTGATTTTCATTACTTTTTATATGTCCAAAATAATGTGAACTAATTTCCTAACAATGGTTTTTTTGAGATGGAGAAAGAAGAGAGGTTCAAGGCTTAAGTCTGTATTTGTATATTCTGTATTTTTAGTCACATTGAAAATGTTACTTTTATAATCAGAAAGCTGGATGGATACTTTCACCTGAAAAATGTTAACTGCCAAAGAAACCTGTCATTCATGCTGTTACATGCTTTATGCAAGTCCTATTGCTGAAATAAAGTTTGAAAACAAATGATGGAGAGCATCACATAAAACTCTCACATTTCCAAATAATCAAAAACTGTCCTAAGACAGGTCAAAACATTTGTTAAATCAAATGTACTAAACCTAAATCTACTCCTGAGCTTCTACTAGCAGGACCACAGTGAAAGCTTTAAATTATTCTCACCAAACCTTTTGACTTCAACAAGTCCAGAATGTAAGAACACCTGTGGTATTAAATACAGATTCATGAGCCAGGTGAACCATGCTGTAATATTAGAATGGAGTCAAAATTTCTAGTGCCCACAGCTAGAAAATGTCCTAACAAAATTCTATTCTGATGTGCAAAATGTTGCTCATGGACTTGGTTACATCTATTCTGACTACAGAGAAGAACTGTTTTACAATTTCTTGTTTCTACTCTGGATACATGAAGGAAGACATTATCCTAAGGTGTCATTAAAATCTCATTTTAAGTAGTATATAAAGAGTTAACATAAATCTATAGGTAACAACAGTAGGAATAACACTAGGAAACCTTCCTAAAATCTTAATCAGCATCATTTTTGTTTCAAAAAGTTCTAATTTTAAATGATCCCTAGAAAAAAATAAAAATAAAAAAAAAATAAATGATCCCTAGAAAGGCCTTAAGAAACCTATGTTTAGTTTTTACCTTTTCAGAAAACCTCACCTTATTTACTAAATAAGATAATGCCATTCTATTTCCAGAAGTAAAAAAGAAATCTGCCTATTACTTTAAAAGAGAAAATAAATAAATGAGTAACCAGAAAGTAATTCTGCATCTATTTAAACAAATGCTGCTCCATGATCAAACTATGAAAAACTGAAAGGCAGTGGATTAGGAATACAATTTTTACTTAAAAAGAAGTCATCTGTATGGGAATTAGACAGTAGTGATGGTGGCACAACTGTGGGAATATACTACAACTTACTAAATTGTATACATTAAAAGGGTGAATTTAAAATATTTTTTTAATTTAATAAACGGTAAATAAAAACAGTGGAAAGTGGCAAGAGAAAACCAAACTAGATGCAGAATTTGGAATATAATGTATTTAGTCTACCTAATCATATTACACACACATTTAACAAGCGCAATGGTTTCTCTTCTTTCTATAATTATTATACTCATTTCCCTTAGAATAAAAACTTAAAATACTAGGGCAATACATCATAGAATTACACATTATGATTCAAGATTAAGAAAAGAATGCAACAGCTCCTTGCCCCCAAAGTAAGGTTTAACCTGAATTAATACTTATTTCTAATTATATCTTTTAAAATATTATCAAATTTGATAGAAAGAAAGAAGGATACAGACAGGAAGGGATGGGGAGAAGGAGAGGCTCTGAGTTCCTATCTTACTCCTGGAAATGGATACAATAGCTACAGAGATTAGTTTGAAGTGACTGAGAAGCAGTATAGCAGAATGAACTGAATTCTAAACAACTCCCTCAGCAATATGCTGTGCAAACCTGACCAGAACTTCTAACCTGTGTAAGCCAGTTCCCTCTTGGGGCACCTGGCTGGCTTAGTCAGAGGAGCACACGACTCTTGATCTTGGGGTCATTAGTTCAAGCCCCACATTGGGTATAGATTACTTAAATAAGTAAATAAACTTTAAAAAAGAAAAAAAAAAAGCCAGTTCCCTCTTATATAAAATAAGATGGTTGACTAGGTTCTAAAGTCACAGCTATCTACATACTATCACATGAGTACTGAATCATCTTTTAAAGAGTCTTAGCCAGGGACGCTTGGGTGGCTCAGTCAGTTAAGTGTCTGCCTTCGAGTCCTGGGATCAAGTCCCACATGGGGCTCCTTGCTTAGCGGGAGCCTGCTTCTCCCTCTGCCTGCCGCTCCGCCCTGCTTGTACTGTCTGACAAATAAAATAAAAATCTTTTTAAAAAATAAATAAATAGTCTTAGCCAATTTGTGCCCCTTTAGAAGGAGTCAAAATCAAATTAAAATCAAAGTTAAATAGGACTGTTACCATTTAACCACATGGCCACTAGGATAGAAACTATAAATTTTTCAAGTATTTGTAACAGATCATTGCTGACTTATTAGAAACCTGCGAAACAGCTATATTATGAACAGAGTATTACAGAAACACAAATTCTGTATAAGGAGAGAATTCTGTGTAACTCCAGATTACATTATATCTAAGGTCATTTTTTATTAGAATTTTACCTCAAATATGTTACATTATATCTAAGGTTGTTTTTTATTAGAATTTTACCTCAAAGACCTCATGAAACTACTGCTTTCAACCAAGTAGTCAAATGGAATGATCCTCAAGAACAGTAAAAATGAGGAACTTTATTTCAAAAGAGAAAGTAAGGCAGTGTGACTATGCTTACATTTGGAGATTATTTTTTTCTAATGATTTAAAAAAATGCCAAAGTGGTAAGCAAATTGATTTTAGGAAGAAAACAGATTTGGTATTGGAATGGTTCTATTGTTAAGAGATTTTTAACTGGAAAAATTTAATTTTATTAAGAAACTTTGCACGACTATAACATAACATAATAAAAGAAAAGAAAACTTCGCATGAATTTCACGTATCTGGATCCCTAACCAAACTATTTTCAGCATATTTCAATTATCAATTTAAGGCATTAAAAACACTATTCACATGGTGTTCTTAAGATTAAATTTTGCTGGCTTGTACAAACAGATCCTGTTTGTTGAAAAAGGATTCTGAGCTGATATTTTTTTAGGATGTTTACTAAATAGCTTATGTCATGTAAGGTTCATTAAAAGATTCTCCAAGGAAAAATAATAGACCAAGAACTGTAGAAGGTAGAGCACAATCTGATTTAAAATATTCTTATGTAGAATTCCAATAGGGGAAATACCTACCTCCTGGGCTGTTTTTAAGTGGTCTCAATTCAATGTGAAAGCATTTTAGTAAAAGACTATTTTTTTTTCAAGATGAAGAAAGAAGTCAGTATGAAGGTTATAGAACAAATAAGCCAGAGAAAACAGGCAGACTTTTTTTAAAAGCATGTGGTAGATATGTTAAAGTTTGAAATGAAATGTTACCTCTCCTACCATACAGAGATTGTACTTCATACCCCTTTGAATCTAGGCTGCCCTTGTTAATGGTTTCAACCAAGAGAATGTGGCAGGATTTATACTGTGTCGTTTCAGAGGCTGGACCTTAAGAAGTCTTACAGCTTACACATTCATCTTCCTGGATCAATGCTAAGACTACCACGTAAAGAAGCCAATCAACTCTAGTGGAGAATAAGAGGCCATAAGGAGAAAATCCAACCAAGCCTTAGACAACACCCAGCACCAACTGTCAGACATGTGACACCATGTTGGACCTTCAAAGTCTTCCAACTTTCAAAGTAAATACAATTGCCATAAAACCAACAGAAGAATTGCCCGGACAACTCAGAGAATCATAAGAAATAATAAATCTCTGTTATTTCATATATATGCCACTTATATAATACCTTATCTTGTAACTGTCTCAACTGCCACAATGTGTACAAAGCAATGCCATTATCTAGATAAACCTAAAGTGGGTTTCTAAACTCTTGGAAAAGTTGTAAAATCATCACTAATGGAATGAATCAAGCATCTTGATTTATAAAAGACAGTACTATCATTTAAAACTATTAATTAAGGAATATTTGTTAAGTTTTCTTAATGAAAGGAATTCCAAATTCTGTTACAGTGTTTCTGAGAATGAAATTCGAAATTCCACAGGCTTCTTTTTCCTCAATTACTACTCTTTGAAAGTGTCACAGTAAGTAGAGCATAGATGTATATATCGGCAAAATGTTTAGATCACGGACAGTTTAATTTTTACGAGTTCAATGTACAGATCTTTCCCTAATAGGACTGTGTTAAGCAAGTGTTCAACCCAAGTTGCTGCAGAAATGGTCTAGAGAAAACTGGAATACTTTTCCTAACCATTGTGATTTTTATAAATTTTCCATCAACAATAACTCATATTTATTCTTAAGTGAGAAACTGTCAACATAACTATAACTTGGTGTTACTTAACATTCACAATATTATGTTTACATACCTCTATAGTAGGATGAGTATTATGCTTGTAAGCAGTATATAAAGGAAACTGAATTTGAAAAATTTTTGCCACACACAGTAAAAGTTTTTCCTTCTCATCTGTACTCCATAAACTAAAAGGATCACAACTCTTTGAAGATTCCTCTTCAGTCAGATTACAAATTCTTGTAGGGTTTGATTTTTTTTCTATTGATTTTTGTCTTTCTGTACTTCCTTCTTTACACTCTCTTTCTATACTCAGTGGTTCTTCCACTTGATTAGTCTCATCTTGCCACGTGGAATCTATGTTAATAGTAGTACAATGTTTACAAAGCTGGTCCCGGAGTACTTGAACTTGGGCAATCACTAAGTTAATAAGTGCACACACTACTTGGTTAAAAATCTCCAAATGCTTATATTCCTTGAAGCAACATAGACATTGCCTATAAGAGAAAGAAAATTTTTCAGTAATTAATGCTTTCTAGAGAGACAACCATTATGTATTTTAAGTAATATAAAAAGTAAAAATAAGCAAATACCAAAGTACTTCCCCCCCACCCCCACCCAATTTTTACCTCCTCCCTTCCTGACAGGGTAGCACAACAGTAATTTATAAAGATGGCATCCCACCAAAAACTGGGACTTTGGGTAGTAAAAAGTCACCATATTAGGTTGACAATTATAGTCTTCAATTTTATGTGTGTATTTATCTGCCCTTCTACACAAATAATTATTTAAAAACAGGAATTGTGGCAAATATCTTTGCTTCTCTAAGTACTGAGTACTAAATATATGTTTAGCAAATATCAGGAAACTGGCCAAAATAAAAACCTTATTAGTAAAGCTAATTGTTTATTTTACACAAAAGGATTTGTAGTTGACTAATAAAAAAGCTGTATTTTAACATTAATAATTTGCTTGAAGGGAGGGCGTCTGGGTGGCTCCACTGGTTGGGCGGCTGGCTCTTGATTTCGGCTCAGGTCATGGTCTCAGGGACCTGGGATCGAGCCCTGCATCTGGCTCCATGCTCAGCAGGGAGTCTCCTTCAGGATTCTCTCTCTCCTTCTACCCCCTCCCTGCTTGTTTGCACTCTCTCTCTAAAGTAAATAAATCTGGGGCACCCGGGCAGCTCAGTCATTAAGCGTCTGCCTTCAGTTCGGGTCATGATCCCAGGGTCCTGAGATCAAGCCCCGCATCAGGCTCCCTGCTCGGCGGGAAGCCTGCATCTCCCTCTCCCACTCCCCCGGCTTGTGTTCCCTCTCTCACTGTGTCTCTCTCTGTCAAATAAATAAAATCTTAAAAAAAAAAAGTAAATAAATCCTAAAAAAAATAATAATAATTTGCTTGAAGGCTAACTTGGGAAGGACATCCCTACACTATTTGGCTGATCAAGAGCATTTAGGAATAACACATACACTCAATACCCTTCAATGTGTGCATACGTGTGTATGTATGTATGTGTGTATATATATATATATATATAAATAAATACAGTAAGAGTCAGTAATTATTACACACAAATTTAGTTCTCTTAGACATGTTCAGTTAGCATAATGCCTGGCAATACTGTGAATAATTAAAGAGTCCAGTAAATCAAATAAATGATACTCAAGTCCCAGATTATAAGAATAACTACATACAGGGGTGCCTGCGTGGCTCAGTTGGTTCAATGTCTGCCTTCAGCTCAGGTCATGATCTTGGGGTCCTGGGATCAAGCCCCACAGTTGGCTCCCTGCTCAGTGGGGAGCCTGGTTCTCCCTCCCCATCTACTCCTCCACCCCTCTCCCCGACTTGTGCTCTTGCACGCATGCTCACTCTCTCAAATAAATAAAATCTTTAAAAAAAAAAAGAGTAACTGTAGCCAATGATGGATGAGAGTAAAACTATTACTTACAATTTGTACTGAGTTATATTATCAAATCATCTATATTGTAATCCAGTAGAGCACCAACTCCCTAAATGACCATGTAGACGTAATTTCATTTCTCCAAGTGTGGCAGATTTAAAGTATAGCCACAAATTCTTTAATATTCTTCCCTTTAGAAAGGGAAGCCCAATTTTCCTCCCCTTGAATGTGGAACAGACTTAATGACTAACATCTAATGAATGGAATGTGGCTGAAATGACTGTGTGACATCTGAAACTAGGTCATAAGAGACACTGCCACTCAGCCTTGCTCTCTTCTGGATCACTCGCTCTGAGGGAAGCCAGTTATCATGTTGTAAAATAATCAAGGAGCTCATGTTGTGTAGTCCACAGGAGAAAAAACTGAGTGCTGGTCCCACTAACAACAAGCACCAACCTGCCAGCCAAGTTAAGTGAACCAACTTGGAAGCAGACTCTCCAAGCCCCACATAAGGCTTGGGATGACTGTAACCTGGCTAACAACTTGAATGCAACCTCCTGAAAAATCCAGGCCAGAACCAACCAGCAAAAACCACTCCCAAATTCCTATACCTAAAAACTCTGAGGATAATGTTCATTGTTGTTTTAAGATACTACTTTTTGAGTAATATATCACACAGAAATAGATAAATAATACATCAGGCCCATCTTCTCGGTGGCAAAATGAAAGGGATTTTACTTCTAAGATCTCCACTTTTAAAATTCTGTATTACCACAATTTCTACAAGAAGAAAAATTAACATACTACTCCTGAAATTTTTCTTACAGTTTTTTTTTTTTTTTTAAAGATTTTATGTATTTATTTGACAGAGAGAGGCACAGCGAGAGAGGAAACACAAGCAGGGGGAGTGGGAGAGGGAGAAGCAGGCTTCCAGCCGAGCAGAGAGCCTGATGCGGGGCTCGATCCCAGAACCCTGGGATCATGACCTGAGCCGAAGGCAGACACTTAACGACTGAGCCACCCAGGCACTCCCGAACAGTTTTTCTTAAGGTTCAAGAAAATCCAAGTTCAAAGTGAAGGACTATACATTTGAATATCTTTTTTTTAAAGGTTTTATTTATTTATTTGAGAGAGAGAGAGAGAAAAGGAGAGTATGGGACCGCACAAGCGGTGGAGAGGGAAAAGCCCATCGAGCAGGGAGCCTGATGCGGAGCTTGATCCCAGGAATGTGGCTGGGATCATGACTTGAGCCAAAGGTAGCCACTTAACTGACTGAACCACCCAGGAGCCCCTTGAGTATCTTTCTTTAGTGAAAAAGGAATCTTAAATTCCTTCCCAAAAATACCTTGAAGTCAGATTTGGATTAGGAAAGTCAAAGAGCCAAATTTACTTTAAAAATTCACTGGCAGGCACTGGGGGCATTTAATGGACTAGGAAACACTAATCTTAAAAAGACAAAAATCATAGAGGTGGCTCAGTCAGTAAAGCATCTGCCTTCTGCTCAGGTCATGATCCCAGGGTCCTGGGATCAAGTCCCGCATCGGGCTTCTTGCTCCGTGGGGAGCCTGCTTCTCCCTCCCTCTCTCTCTGCCTGCCACTCCCCGTGCCTGTGCTTTCTCTGTGTCAAGTAAATAAAATCTTAAAAAAAAAAAGACAAAAGTTATACATTCAGAAACTAACACAGAACTGAATCTAGGTCCTTACAAATATACAAATTCAAGAAGAGCTGATAGTCTAAGTGAAGATACACAAATACACATATACACATATCTTTAAATACTTACGTAAGTTATACACTTTATTATATGACAATCCATTCTGAAAAGTTTAGGTATTTGAATTCTCAATACAGCACTTCTCTCTATATCCCTACCCATACTGCAGGAGGAGAAAGTGTTTTTAAATAAATAAACATCACTTTCAGTTAAGTCCAGCTTGATTTTACACTCAACGTTTATTTCTGGTCTATTTAAAAACCCACTACAAATACCCTAAAAGAAAAAAAGATCTTTAACTCCATTAGGAAAGAGAAAATCGAAGAACAGATAACAAACAGGAACAAATTTTGGATGATAGAAAAGGGAGGAAGAGGGGAGCCTGGGTGGCTCAGTCGTTGAGCTTCTGCCTTCGGCTCGGGTCATGATCCCAGGGTCCTGGGATCGAGCCCCACATCGGGCTCCCTGCTCCGCAGGAAGCCTGCTTCTCCCTCTCCCACTCTCCCTGCTTGTGTTCCCTCTCTCGCTGTGTCTCTGTCAAATAAATAAATAAAATCTTAAAAAAAAAAAAAGAAAGAAAGAAAGAAAGAAAAGGGAGGAATAATAAGTGATTCAGAGCAAACGAAATAAACTTGGAAGGGGCTACGGAAGGATTTATCAACAAAACTGTCCACCCTACAGAACACTGAAAAGGCTCGGGAATAAAGAGCATCAGATACATCTAAATGCATAGAGGAAGCATAGGCAGAAAATAGGACTAAATGAAAGGTACAGTTAAAACCTGCAGATTCCAAACCCAGACAGCCATGATACTATTCCTACTTGACCCAGGGAAACAAGAAGTTTTTCTGTACATAAAATGAACAAGATAAACCCAGGAACACCAGATGCTAAAGAAGTCAGGGATAATACAAGAAACAGAAAAGAAAATTAAGAAATGACTGAATGATGAACCTCCCCAACTAACCTTCCTTGCCCATCAACCAGACTAAGATAACTCAAGGCCAATGACTTCAAGATATTTCTCTTAGAGAATATTAATACCTAAGAGAAAAGCCCATTTACCCCTGGTAATGAAGCTTGCTCACCACTTTACCATCCTACAGTGTAGACCAACATCTGAGATACCCCACCCACACAGAACTTTCAATCCATCTTTCAGTGCCCATCTCTTTTTTTTTTTTTTAAAGATTTTATTTATTTGACAGAGAGAGACACAGCGAGAGAGGGAACACAAGCAGGGGGAGTGGGAGAGGGAGAAGCAGGCCTCCCGCGGAGCAGGGAGCCCGATGCGGGGCTCGATCCCAGGATCCTGGGATCATGACCTGAGCCGAAGGCAGACGCTTAACGACTGAGCCACCCAGGCGCCCCCAGTGCCCATCTCTTAACCATGAAAATCCTTAACCAGTAAGACTTGAAAGAAAAGCTGCATCGTCAAAGGCAGATCAAAACGAATGGTAAAAAGAAATTCAGAGAAAGTAGATAAAATGCAGGAAGAAAAGGTTTTAATCAATTTATATTCTCAGAGACAAAAAAGATACTGGACTACTGAAACAAGAATAGAATACCATTAAAAAAATGCATTCAAACTACAAAATACAGCCCTTCAATGTGTACAAATATACATTACACAGCTTTTGCATATATTATCAGTCACAAGTTAATAGCAGTTTGATAGTCGGAAGAACATACAACTCTTGATCTCAGGGTGGGGAGGTTCGAGCTCCACATGGAGTGTAGAGATTACCTGAATAAATAAAAATAAATAATAAAAAATAAAAGTATACCAATTTGTAAAATTCAACAGAAGATCTACAAGGTAAAGGTGAAAAATGTCCTAGAAAGTAGAACAGATAAAAAAAGACAATGGGGAGAAAAAGAA